TCCAAGCCGGCGGGGCCGCCGAGCCGGTGCCAACCCTCACCCTGTACCTCCCCGCAGATTCTAGGAACTTCACCCGAGCAAGGGAGGTATTTTTCTGCAACCTCCCTACCTCGCCCTGTGCTTTTTGGCCAGGGCTGCGTAATACCGTTTGGCCTGTCCTGGCAGCCAAGTGCCAAGGTATATATGTACGTACCGATCAAAATGAATGGAGCTGCTGAATTAAGTGTTGGAGCAAAACCCCGCAGGACAATAAAATCCATTGATGGTGGAGCAGAGTCCAAGTCTCCGTTGCTCCGAGCCAGAGCTCCCACAGCAGAGCCCTCTTGGTCTGAGCTATCCCTGCTGTGGGATGGTCACCAGCCTCCCAGCTGGATTCCTCCTGAGGAAAAGCCACTTCTCTCTGGAAACACGATGGGCAGACCTCTGCTGCCAGCTCAGTGTGGGTTTAAGGCTTCTTTCGGGACACCTACCACCTAGCTTGTAGCCCTCTCAAGGACTGCCCAAGCCCATGCTAGTTGGAAGAGGGAGTCCACATGCAGACAACGTCCTCCCGGTCACTCAGTCCACACAAATTGAGACTAGGCATGGTTGAGCATGCATTGGTCTAAGCTGGGTCCAGCACATGCCCTGGAAGCCTGCGTGACTCGAAGCAACGGTGGCTGCAGACCCCTTCGCTCTCCAATACTTTCCTTATGCCATGCGAAGCAAAGAGTGAAAGATTCTTCCAGCTGCCACGCTGGGTTTGGGAGGGAAAAATATCACTGTGACTCATAAATGGAGCAAATTCAATATGGACAGCCATTGACAAGGGATAAATATGAAAGAAACCCCTAGGATGTCAATTCTACCGTTGCTGTCTGGCTCTTTTCTGACCATAACCACACTTTAAACACCAGTTTATGATGCAAACAGCCAGCAACCTACTGCTGGAAGCTTGTGGAACAAACTACCCACTTCGCAGAGATAGCAACAGCCCAGGTAGACATGGGAAAGCCAGCTCGCTTGAAGGCTGAGCCAGGACAAGACGACTTGTTTGGCTCTGGGATGCAAACCACAGCTCTAAGCCATTGATGCTGGCCATCTGCATGTGAAAAAGCAAACATATAAATAAAAATTACTGTGAATGGCAGAAAACGATGCTGGAGAACCTTCCCACTGGCTTGGCTTCTCCTTAGGCCTGGAAGCAGAGCTGTACCACAGCCAATGCTCAGCCAAAGCCAGCCTGCAATCGCTCGACCACCTCCGTGCCCGGGCGGTGCAGCTGGGCTTTGTGTTTTAATGACACAAACCCCCCTGTATTGCAAAAAAAAAAAAAAATAATCTGCCACGGGTCAGTTTTGCAAACGGCGGAGTTCGCTTTCTGCAGAGGGCTGATCCATGGTCTGCCTGGGTTTTGGGTGAGGATGGAGGTCATAAAACTCCCTGGGCTGCCTCTGGGACGGACCCACTGCCTGACCCAAAGATCTCGTTTCAGCTCTCTCCCGTGGTAGCTTGTGTCTGCTGCTGAAGGCAGGGGAGATTCACGCTCAACGGCTGCACCGGTGCCACCAAACTGGTTTCTGGGTGTTGGTGGCAGTGACACCCCAGTACACGCGGGGAGTCCAACGTGCAGGACAGATAATGCACGGTGTTCCCCGCTCGCACACGGCCGCTCTCCAGCAGCTCTGGAACACGTAGCTTCCTCGCTCTGCTTGCGGGATCTTAAAAAGAGCCAAGAAGTGTGCTGGATACTCAACCTGAAAGCCGCCACACAAAAAAATGCAACCTCAGCCTCTCTTATTTTTACTTCTTTTTCTAAAAGACAGTTGTGCAGCTTTCCTCTGCGTGCCCGTGGGTCTGCCAGTCTGACAGCTTCAAAAGTTAGATAAACCCACCTTTTGGCCAGTTTTAAGGCCATCTGGGAAAAGACAGAGCTTCTGAAGGATGGAGCAGTGTGGCAGAAGGTGGTCAGGGAGAGGAAGAGAGGCCTGTGGATGTGGTGACAGAGAAAGGACTGCCCTGTGGACATGCAGCACATGGATGCATCGGACAGAAGCGAATTTACCCAGAGAAAGCTTTTGTGAATGCCCCAGTAACAGGAAAAGCTTTCACCCACCTGCCCTGCTAACAGAGTAAGAGCTTCTCTCACTTCCACACCACCTTTGGAACAAGATTTACAGGATGGGAGCGATTTCTATCTAGCCCTCTTGAGCCAGATGTGCAACAGCTGCACAGCAGCACCGGAGCCCAGTCTCGTGCCATACCCAGCACTCAGCTCTGCTGCAAAGCACAGCCATAACCCCTTGCACTTGCTGTTTCCCACATTCCTGCACCCTGTGCCAACAGCACTGCAAAGGCTGGGCCTCTCCAGCAGGCAAAGCATGCAAAAACGGCCGGAAAGACCAACAAGGTGACATCGTGCCGTTCACACGGACTCACCGGCCCCTACGGTTTGCTCCACCATGGCAAGGCAAGACCCATCACTGCAAGCAAACCCTGCCTACCACCCTGCAGTTATCAGCAGAGCTCATGAACACAATTCACCCTCCTGACGATCATAATTAAAAAAAAGAAAAAGAGAGAGAGACAGGTGGCACACCCTTCACTAGAGAGGTTTTCATAATGGTTAAACATTGGCCTGGAGCCAGACCACAGCTCTGAAAGCTCAGGGGCAGGAGGAAGGGACCTGGGATCTGAACTCCGAATTTCACAACTGGTCCCATGCACACAGAGGGACGAGCCCAAACCCCCCCATTCAGGAGGCTGAAGTCAGATCTCGATCTGAATTTGGTGGCTTGGGCCAGTTTCAAGAATCACAAATTACCTCTACTTATTATTATTATTAATAATAAAGTGTTATTTTATGCAGGAGCTTTGAGGTTCATTGTGATTTGCAGACAAGCTGTTAGACCAGGGGTGGAACGCGCGGCTGGCAGGAGGCGGGGGGGTTTCCCATGTTCTCA